TGGAGTACTACGTCCAGTTCTGGGCGCCGCACTTCAGGAGGGATGTGGACAACATGGAGAGGGTCCAGAGGAGGCCACTCGCATGATCAGCGGGCAGCAGGGCAGGCCCTACGAGGAGAGGCTATGGGACCTGAACCTGTTCAGCCTCCACAGGAGAAGGCTGATGGGGGATCTGGTGGCCTGTTACAAACTAATCAGGGGCGACCAGCAGGTATTGGGGGAATCCCTGTTCCCCCGAGCATGACCAGGAGTGACCAAGAATAATGGTCACAAGCTGGCAGAGGGGAGATTCAGACTAGATATCAGGAGACGGTACTTCACGGTCAGGGCGGCTACGATCTGGAACCAACTTCCAAGAGAAGTGGTGCTGGCTCCTACTCTGGGGGTCTTTAAGGAGGAGGCTAGATGAACACCTTGCTGGGGTTGTTTGACCCCAGTACTTTCCTGCCAGGGCAGGGGGTCAGACTCGATCTGCTCAGGCCCCTTCCGACCCTACTAACTATGAAATGGGGGGTTATAGTGGGTTAGGAGCTGAATGAAATCAGCATAACTTTATTATGAAAAAGCTAGCAACGCTCCTGTTAAACACATCCCGGGATGCTGTCTCCCATGCACACAAGTCGTAGGAAGCAGTTCTTCCACTTGATTCAGCACAAATGAGGCAAAGACACTCTCGTTGACCCAGAGGGACAGATTTCCATCTCCAGCTCCCTCAGTGAAAAAATGAAGTGTATTTCCTACCTATGGGGATTTTTTTTACCATCTTGAATTTTCCTTGAGCCTGAAAGCTTGCAGAAAAAAAAAAACAAAAACAAACAAAAACACTTGTTTCTGGCAATTTCCTAGTTGGTCTAATAAAAGGTATCATTTCTGAACCAAGAGTTCTAGATTTTTGCATATCCAGTTTTGGGTACTTCATTGAAGGAAAACATGGACAAAAAGGAGAGCAACAAAAATGGATAAACATCTAGAGAACATAACCTCAAGAAAGTTTGGAGAGGGAGGAAAATCCAAGCAGAGTCCAAATACATAAGATGTTATAACAAGAGGATGGTGATCAATTGCTTAGCTTAGAAATTAGCAAGAATATTCTAATAAATGTAGTTACGCACCAAAACAAATGAACTACAGAAGTTGTGGACTCTGCCATTGTGAGCTTTTGAGTGCAGGTTAGGCAAACAACCATGTCGATGGATTAAATAGAAACAACCCTGCCTTGAGCAGGGGGCCACATTAGATGGCCACCTGAAGTCTAGCCCTACTTTCCCATCATTCAATGTCCCAAACAGAAGTGGTCAGTTGGTCTGTATTACACATCCCTCAGAGTGCTCAGCTTTGGCCTCATACCATGTCCACTGCAATCATCGAGAGTCCTCTCATTGCTTTCACTGACTTTGGTAGAAAGCAGAGTTTAGCTAATGCAAGATTTTTCGGGATGGATGCCACCCTCTATTATGAGATACCAAAGCTTTTCTCTTAATTTGGACAATACTTATTATCTTTTAGGTAGCATACTAGCTTTCAGTAGGTTCCTGTTATCTGGGAAGTTAGTTTTGAAGTACGCTCAGGGACAGGAGCATGTCTGTACAACAGTTACTGCACGTATCTGCTTGCTTATGTTTTGAGTTACATCTACTTGGCCTACTGACAAAAATAAGTTCTCACTATTCTCAGCAACCCAGAGCCAATATAACCCGAGATGAATGGATTGCATTATACACTACCTCAGGTATCCTCAACAAAATTGCCAGCTAAGTTTGGATTACAGAATCTTTGTGGCTATTCCTGAAGCAGAAAGCATTTTTTTAAAAATGCCAAAATAAAAGTAAGAGAATAGTGTCATCTATCACCACGTTCCTTTGACTCTCCACTACTCCTTGAATGTAATGCTTTACTTGCAACATTTACACTGCAAGTCCAAATAAAAGGACACATAGCAGTGAGAACAACGGGGCCCCAATCCTCATGTTTAGAGCTTCTGGACACACAGCATAAAGGTTTTTAAAGGCAAACTACACTAGTTCATGGTTGTCTTCCTAAAGGCCCAAGAGCAGTTGATGTCAGACCCGCTGGGATAAACTGTTCTCAGCGAGGGGGCTCTCCATTAACTACAATGTCTGGGGAAGAACTGGTAGAGGCCCCCAAACAAAAGGGAACATGGAATACGATATGGAAGAGTTGCGAGTTCCTCTCTTGCGAGCTCTGGAGAGAACAACTATGGCTGTTTAGACCCACACTGTCAACAGGGAAGACTAGAAAAGGACCATGGTCTAATGGGAGCCAGCATGGGCACCTGAAGCCAGAAAACAAATAAAAAATAAGAACAATCAGTCCTGTAAGGAAAGAGGTAGCCATAAAAAATTAAAGAGAGAACAATAAGTGCATCCAACATGTACCTCCAGTGCTCCTTCCTGCCCATGGCAGGGGGGTCGGACTAGATGATCTGTCTAGGTCCTTCCGACTCATTGATTCTATAATTCTATGACTTTGTGAAAAGCTACCATAATAGAACAGTCACCATCAACAGTTTGATTTTCTGCACTGAAGCATCCATCCTCTCCCCCTTCATTACGGCGCTCAAGGAGGAAGCGTCAACTTTATCGTTAAGGATTGCTATGATGTCCAAATACCCGATAATACACGTCAAATACATGGCTTTTAAGTAATGCAACCACACAAGCCACGTTTCAATTATTCCATCTTCCATTTTAAAAACAGGTCTTTAAACTAAACCCAAAAAAAAAAAAAAAAATGCAAGTCATCTCATGGCTAAAGGCTCACACTTCAGCTTCAACCAAGTTCATTAAGGGTAGATTCCACTGAACGTTCGCTCTCATCACAAACCAGCTCCCCAACTCAAACCAGTGCAGAATTTTTCATATCAAGACTTTGTGATTTGACAAGCAGTCATCAGAAACAGCTTCTACTATCATATCTGAGCTCAAATTTGCATATTTTTGGCCAGTAGGGTTAAACAAACCATGAAAATCCCCTAAGAGAAAAGGAAATGCATAACAGTGAGCCTACATTTAGAAACAGCAGGACAAATATTTAATATGTTAGGAGAGCTTTAGCTCTTATACTCCCCTCACAATCAATCAGTGGGAACTGTGGAGCTGAAATCCTCTTGTATATGTTAAGTTATTTTTGATTGTCAGTTTTTTATTATGGAGCAGCAATGTCAGTTGAGCTGGAGCCAAATATCTTTGAAAAGCAAGGGGTCAATTCATGCAGTTACTGACTGCAGATGGGACATATCAAGGAACTCATTTATAAAAAGAGAAAGAAACAAACCCCTTGAAATACAACAGTTAGTTTAGGGTACTAAAAGAATTGTCAAGTTTGACCTTGTAATACAAGCATGCCTACATAGTACTCTTTTGGGGTCTCTTGAATATTGAGGTTTCGTAACATCCCAAATAATGTGTTACACTAAAAAAAGGTGGCATTTGATTATACCAGGAAAATCCCTAGCAAAACAAAGCTAGCATCAGTGGGTTATGTACAGATTAAATGGAGTGCACTGCAAGGGACAGCCTGGGAGGGGTATAGTATGCTCTTCCTGCTGAGAAGGAAGTCTCTTGGTGGACCATGCTAAACTACTTCCAATAACAATAGGTTGTGAAGGTGGGGACTGGATTGCCACACTGTTTCTGACAGGTCTTGGACTAATGAAGGGGGAAGAGATTTGAGAGTTGTGCCCTTGAACCTCACAACTGGTACGCTAAGTTCCCACTGGGTTCTGGAGGCCACTTCTGAAGTCAACTAAATGATGGAGCAGAAGGGAAAAACTGGGTCACTGGAGGCCTCCTTTGACCATCACTCATTAATCTATACCTTAATGACCACCACTCGTCAAGGTATAGATTGATGTACCCTTGGAATCTCTTTACTGCTGTTATTTGGGAGCTCCAAACAGAAGTGCTAAGAGCGGAAGCCTCAAGTCTACCCTAAGAGCCCTCTGCATTTCTCCAATTTGTTGCTTTGTAACATGCAAGATGGTCAGTCTCCCCAAATGAAGAGGTCTGTTCCAACTCCTTGTCTATTCAGTTAAAAATAACTTCAACCAGAACGAAATGTTGGCAGGTCTAGAAGAAAGAGAAGGTTGCTTTTTGAGTAAGGCTACCTGCTGGACCACCAGTACTTTTTGCGTCCCATTTGAAAACTAAGCAACTTCTTTGAAACTGTTCAAACTTTGCCATACTGTAGTAAATACTCAATAACACTGCATTCCAGATTCATCCGTACTTTTCTGAATACCAAATTCAGTCTATTTCTTCATTCTTTTTATGGGGAGTTATTTCATGCAATAAGATTAAATATTTTTATTTTATTTCTGAACATTAACCATAAAATTATTTTTAAAAACATGGGAATATGTCCATGTTTTATTCATAAAAAATTGTATTTTAAAATCACATACTTACAAAAAGTTCCCACTTACTTATAAACCAATTTTAATTGAGAACCTGCTAAACAAGTTTTTTCATAACATTCTACTTTATAGGCAGAATCTTCTAAAGATATATAAATGCCAAGTAAAACAGGGCAACAGCATCAGATTATATGGTTGCAAACTGGCATCGTCAAATTATGTCACTGACAACTTGGTAGCAGGGCTGAAGTGTTGCATCCCATGGACCATCACAGGGACAAGGCAAGGGGCTTTGGTGACATCTTTTACTGGACCAACTGTATAGCTGGGAGAGCTGCTGGACATGTTTGTGGGCACCAAGTGCTCTTCCCTTGGATGACCTCCCCTCAGGTGACCTGAGGAAGTTGGTCCTCAGCTCTCGCAACTATAGTTAGTCCAGTAAGAGATATCACTAAAAATCCTTATCTCATTGAGAAATTTTAATATTCACACAGCTTAGTTTTAAAATAAAATATTTTAGTTGAAAAATCTTCTGGCCCACAGTTCCAACCCTCAATTTAAGATGCATAGCTCAAGGAAGCAAAAAAAGTGGGTTAAAAAACAGAGTCACAAACTCCTCTGTGACCATTTCAGGCTGGACATAAGGAAGAACTCCTTTACTGTCTGAGCCCCCAGGGTTTGGAATAGACTGCCGCCAGAGGTGGTTCAAGCACCTACTTTGAACACCTTCAAGAGACAATTGGATGTTTATCTTGCTGGGATCCTATGATCCCTGCTGACCTCCTGCCCGTGGGGCAGGGGGGTGGACTTGATGATCTTCCAAGGTCCTTTCCAGCCCTAATGTATATGAAAATCATTTTTCCACCAGTGACTGATACTGAAAGTGGAAGGAACCATAGAGAAAAACAAGTCTCTCTACAGTTTGTTCAGAATATTTGCTTTGCTGTTTTACTTTTTAATGCACTAATTATCTGCTAAAACTGTATTTTCCATTTCAAAGATTCTCCCCCCCTTACATAACTACAATGTAATCCCATGGAAGCTAGGGTGCAGTGCTTAGTACAGGCATACCTCATTTTATTGCACTTCGCTTTATTGCGCTTCGCAGATATTGCGTTTTTCACAAATTGAAGGTTTGTGGCAACCCTGCGTCGAGCAAGTCTATCGGCGCTCAGGTGATGTT